GGCGCTGCCACGCGCGCGGCCTCGCTGGGGCTCCCCCACACCTCTCTGCAACAGCTGGGGTGCTGGTCCTCTTCGGCTTTCTCCGCCTACATCAGGCCAGACGCGTCCGCCATCCTGGCTGCACAACGCCTACTGGCTTCCTCGCAAGCTCCCAGCAAAGCAATACGAAGCAAAGTAAGTGAAGCAATAAGATTCTGGTGGCGGCACGCACTTCTCAAACACTCTCCGCTGCCGCAGCGTCTGACGGAACGTGATGCGAACGCTCACGTTCCCAGCGCGCAAAAAATAACCCACGAGGCATTACACTCGCCTCCGCTCTCGGAAAGGAGATCTCAACGGACCGTTATTTCTCACCCCCGATCACCTCCCAATGTCATCCAACGGGTTCAGAGCCCAACTAAAGTCCGTACTGCTGCTTTGTAACCTGTCTCCCCATCTCTACGCAGCTCACTCCTTCCGGATAGGCGCCGCCAGCAGCCGAGTATCCGCAAGTATTGATCACAGTAGATAGCGGTCACAGCATATAGCGATAGCGGTCACAGCATATAGCGATAGCGGTCACAGCATATAGCGATAGCGGTCACAGCATATAGCGATAGCGGTCACAGCATATAGCGATAGCGGTCACAGCTTAGCGATAGCGGTCACAGAATAGAGTAGTCACGACGTCTGTCCCCTCCAAACCAGGCTTCGAAAACTCCATCAACACGCAGCCTTTTTGGGGATTGTGCGCGCTCATCGCAGGAGCCTTTCCGATCCGAAGGCCGCACCGGGACCTAGGGCGCCAAACCTCCTTTCATAAAATACTCAACTCCCTGTTTCTCGTCTCTCCAAATTGAAATGCAGCCCGCGAAAATTCGACGTTAACCAAAATTACCCCCTCCAGGCCGGCTGTCATCCCCAGCCTATCGCTCAGCAGACGCCCCCTTCCAATCATCTGTACCGACTCGCAGCCGCATAAAAACGGAGCAACTCCCACTACCGGCCTCCTGAAGCCTCGCAACCACCGCCTCCCCTCCTCCTCCTCTTCACCCTGCCTCCAATCTGCCTTCAATTTTCTTCCCGCTGCCAAATGCCGCCACCAGTGCCTAGGTCCCGGGGGATTGTGCGCGCTCATCGCAGGAGCCTTTCCGATCCGAAGGCCGCACCGGGACCTAGGGCGCCAAACCTCCTTTCATAAAATACTCAACTCCCTGTTTCTCGTCTCTCCAAATTGAAATGAATAAATACATTCTTTCGTAGAAGGTATATGGTGTAACAGGTATCAGAGGGAGAGAGACCAGAGAGACAGACCAGATAGACAGACCAGAGAGAGAGACAAGAGAGACAGACCAGAGAGAGAGAGACCAGAGACAGACCAGAGAGACAGACCTGAGAGAGACCCAGAGAGAGACCAGAGAGAGAGACCAGAGAGAGACCCAGCGAGACAGACCAGAGAGAGAGAGACCAGAGAGAGACAAGAGAGAGACCAGAGAGACAAACCAGAGACAGACCAGAGAAACAGACCAGAGAGAGACCCAGAGAGACAGACCAGACAGAGAGACACCAGAGTGACCATAGAGAAAGACAAGAGTGAAGAGAGAGAGAGACCCTGTTCTGTTTTTCTCTTACGTTCCTTTTGAACCATGAAGATAAGATAAGATATACTTTATTTATCTCACAAAGGAGAAATGTACATGTCACATTTGGCCTGGATAGAAACACTCAAGATTCTGCAAAAGAAAGAAATGTGCAAACATGTTAAATACAGGATATATTATGTACAAGAAAAAAGTGGCAATTTAAAAGTGGCAATCAGAAACAGTGTCAATAGTAATGCAGGTTCTTTCAGTCTTATACAGTGACTTATTGTACAGTCTGACAGCGGTGGGGATAAAGGCCCTGCGGAAGCGCTCCTTCCTACACTGAGGGTGCCTCAGTCTTCCACTGAAGGAGCTCCTCAGCTCCTCTACAGTCCTGTGCAGTGGGAGGTGTTGTTCATGATGGAGGTGGCTTTGGCTAGCACCCTCCTGTCCCTCACCTCCTCCACAGAGTCCAGGGGCCTCCTGTCCCTCACCTCCTCCACATGGTCCAGGGAGCAGCCCAGAGTGGAGCTGGCCCTCCTGACCAGCTTGTTCAGTCTGTTTCTGTCCTGCTCTGTGCTGCCCGGGGCCCAGCACACGGCAGCGTAGTAAATGGCAGAAGCTACCACAGAGTCATAAAAAGTCCTGAGCAGAGGCCTGCTCACTCCGAAGGACCTCAGTCTCCTCAGAAGGAAGAGGCGACTTTGGCCCTTCTTGTGCAGGGCGTTTGTATTATGGGACCAGTCCAGTTTATTGTTAATGTGAACACCCAGGTACTTGAAGCTGTCCACCAGCTCAATGTCCTCCCCCTGGATGTTCAGCAGCGTGTGGGAAAGTGGTTTTCTCCTGAAGTCGATGATCATCTCCTTGGTCTTACTGGTGTTCAAGCACAAGTGGTTGCACTCACACCAGTCGACCGATATTCCAGTTTGTTCCCCTCAGACACACAGCCCACGATGGCGGAGTCGTCGGAGAACTTCTGCAGGTGACAGCTCTGTGTGTCATGTGTGAAGTCTGAAGTGTAGATGATGAAGAGAAACGGTGAGAGGACAGTGCCCTGAGGGGCCCCAGTGCTGCAGACGACCACCTCAGACTCACAGCTGCGCAGCCGCACGTACTGTGGTCGGTCTGAGAGGTAGCTGATGGTCCATAAAGTGAGGCTACTGTCCACTCCCGCGTCCTCCATCTTCCCCTGCAGCAGTGCCGGCCTGATAGTGTTGAGAGCACTGGAGAAGTCGAAGAACATGACCTTAGACTGGTTTCCTACACTGGTCTATTCTTCTGCGTTGAAGCAAAGCAGCAGGTCACACTGAGCTCTCAGTCTCTGCCCCGAGAGAGAGACCAGAGAGAGCTCTCAGTCTCTGCTCCGTGGGAAAAAAAATCAAAAGCAAAAGAAAGAGCAGAAAGAGGACGTGTCAAAAGTTCAGCCTATTTAAATAGAGTCTCATGAAGCTTTGAGAAACTCCCAGAGAGAGATTCTTTCCCACACAGGTCACATCGTCTCTCATTTAACACTAGGACCAAAGAGACCAGAGAGAGACCAGAGAGAAGGACCTGAAAGAGGGACCTGGGAGAGACCAGAGAGAGAGACAGGAGAGAGACCAGAGAAAGGGACTGGTGAGAGAGTAGAGACAGACCGGAGAAAGAATAGAGAGAGAGAAAAATAAGTTTCAAAAGCAGAAGAAAGTAAAGAAAGATGTCATTAAGGACCCGTCAATAGTTCAGTCCATATTAACAGAGTCTCATGAAGCTTGTGTTTTTTGCCTCATTCCTGAAGTGAACTCAGCTTCTCGCTGACACTGTGCTTCAGTCCTAGATCTACAGCCTCAGTCCTGGGTCTACAGCCTCAGTCCTGGATCTACAGCCTCAGTCCTGGATCTACAGCCTCAGTTTTGGATCTACAGCCTCAGTCCTGGATCTACAGCCTCAGTCCTGGGTCTACAGCCTCAGTCCTGGGTCTACAGCCTCAGTCCTGGGTCTACAGCCTCAGTCCTGGGTCTACAGCCTCAGTACTGGAGAGAGAGATACAGTATCAAGAACTGAACATTGACCCCAGTCTCTTCCCCACATGAGGAGTCCAGTCCGTCCTGAACGGTGACCAGAGCAGGTGTAAACTCTCTCTACCTGCACATAATGAGATCTGTTTCCATTTTGGGTTTTTGCTGCTGGAACAAACTACAGTGTTGACCTTTCATTCTTTAGCTTAGCTTTAATTATAGAGATGTGATTTATTTCTCGGAGCTGTTGAAATGATTTAGACCTTCTGTAGAGCTACAGACCTCTCATGGAGCCAGTGTGGGGAGTCGTGGATACTGTCTGTAGAGTCTGTATCTGTCTCTGGTGTTGAAGGAATCAGGTCTGTGCGGGACTCATGTGAAAGACTGTTTGACGAGGAAATTACTTTTTCTTTTATTTTTTTAACAAAGGTGTTGATGGAAGTGTCAGAATAGAACTGAATATAAAGTTCAAATCCATGCAAAAATATGTTCTATGAAGCTTTAGGGAAGAATATACTCAAAGAAAGCACAGGAAGAGACAGACACGCAGTGGCAGAACACATGTGTGAGGTCTTGGGTTCATTCCCCAGCATCTCCAATCAGTGATATTGATCAAAACTGTCAATTTTCACATCTTGAAATTCTGTGTACTGAGGGGATGAAGCTCAGTGGTAGAGTGCATGCTTTGCACTCTACCATGGAAAGCCATGTTCCAGATTCTTCCCTCTGGCAGAAGATATCGCTCTCTGAGATGCAGGACATCTCGTTACGCTAACAGTTTTTATCCACAAGTTGTTATCAGTGTGAACAGAGCACTTTAATGATTTGCACTTGTTTTGAACTGTTTTAGTCGATCGATTTCACAGTGACATTTGTTTACTGTTTTATTTATTTTATTTCTGTCTTTTAATGTTGTTTTATGTCTGTATTTGTCTGTGCACACTGGAGACTTTTTGCTAATGTATTCCAATGTGGTTTTTTACTACAAATGGCAAATAAATAAACTGAACTGAACTGAACTGAACAAATAGTACTATCTTAGCTCAGAGTCTGACCCTTGACATACTGTATAATCTCTATCTTTACCACTGCCACTACAAGGTCTGCTACTGACAAATACTTTCTGAAATGTTTCTTATAGTTTGGAGAGTGAGCGTATTTGGTCGCCCTCTTCTCTCCCAGAGACTCTCAGGATTTTGCCTAATTGGGGCCAAAAGAGAAAGAGAGAAGATGTAGAAGAGAGTTCTGTGATCGGGTATGTAGAGTGTCCTTGTGTTCTTAAGCTTTGAACCTCACCACTCTGTCTGTGACTTGTGATCAACATTAGCTACATTATCTTTGTTGTGGTGGATCATACTTGTATACAAGAGAAAGTCTTAGATAGGAAGGACCACCATTGAGAGATTCTCTCCATGAGCAGGAAGAAGAGGAGGTAAAGAGGATGTCCTCATCCAGGATCCTTCTGGGGAGCTATGTGCTGGACGTGTTCAGCCACCGTCTCCACAAGTGCTCAGTGGATCTCCAATGGATCAGTCTCAGCTCCCAAACACAGGCCCACGCAGTTACCTCCGTAAGTATTTGAACTAGATGTGGTTAAACTGCGGATATGGGTGAATATTGATGTAAGATGTCTCCCGCAGGTCAAAAAAGAGGTGTGGACAAGCATTATTATGCAGAGCTTTTGGAGCGTTGGTGGACAGATAGCTCTGTCCCTGCACAACGATGCATTTATGGATCATCAACGTGATTGACTGCAGCGGCAGCAGAACTTCAAAGTTAGGGGTGCCCAAAGTGGGACTGGCGGGTCACAGTTGGCCCGTCGTATTGTGTCCACCCCTGCTGCAAGTGTCTGTTGGCTTCCCTAAGACACGCAAGACACACATGTGTATGTCTAGGGTTGCTCTGGCGCCCCAAGACCTAGCCAGCTATCACAGCCCAGTACTTTACTGTTGTATCGAGATACACGCCTCACTCATGGTTCACATCAACTTGCACTAAGATGTTTTTAAAATCAAACACACTAATCAAAACAATTGGGTGTGTAAATGGAGCGAGTGAGGAACCAGCGTCTCTTCAGAGTCTAATCCTAGGAGGTTACCTTGCTCTATTACGCAGAGTCCCTGATAGGGCCTGGCTCTGTGTAGCGCTTGTCCTGACCTGCCTCGGGCTGGGTCTAGGACAGCTAAGTCCTATTTTCTATTATTCACGTTTTTGCCCTACCTAACGTTTTCCCCTTTCGGTGGCTAATCCGTTGAGGAGCAGAAGCTCTAGGTGCAGTATGCGGTATACCAAAAATTCAAGGAAGGTTTTTAGAAATGTGAAGCCGAGTCAGAATGTTGTCTTTTTTGAGCCGGGTGACTCTTTTATTCAAAGCAAATCTCTCACAGGGTCCTGAATGAGAGCCTCCTGCTGCTCTCTCTGCACTGTTCAGCTGTTGACTCTCTCTGAGTCGCCCTTTTTATAGCACACGCGGGAAAGTCCAGCAGCATTAAGGATGACCTCATTCAGGAAGTACATACATATATGGGCAGGGAAGGAAGCCCATATTTGGTCATGATAGGAAGGAAGTACATATTTGGTCATAGCAAGAAGGAAGTACATATTTGGTCACTCCATGCTATGAACTTTTACCCAGATTAATGACCCTTGCCCTAGTTAGCATGCACAGCATGAACTTTGACACAGTTAACATGAACTTTAGCCTAGTTAAGTATAATGTCACATTAAATCACATCAAATGTTTTTTAATCATATTACTGACAGTACACATTGTTTAATGCATTTCTCTTACGTTTCACATATAATTATAAAATGTTATTTTGTTTTAAATCACAACATCATATTTTCTATGACGGAGTGCACCTTCTTTTTTTTCAACCCACTATTATTATTATTTTTTTTTTGGAAATTTTTTTGCAATTTTTTGTTTTATAGATTTTAGAGAAAACGCCATGAGCCTTTTGTGCTTGTAGGAAAGTATGGGAAAGACAAGCAGAGAAGTGCGCCCCTAGTGTTAGGTTTCTGTTTTGCATGTTGAAGTAACTTTTGCTTTTGAGCACGTAGCTGTTGTCAGAGCAACACGCAACCGCTTCATTAGGCCCGAGCCCCAACTGTGGTGAGGGCCTATTGCTTTCACGATGGTGAAAGCAAGGGGTGGAGGAGAATGACGGACGCGTCAGCGCCCGTCACTTACCACAACGGGACGGTTGCGCTTTAAAATGATGTATCATGTGCCATTGAAACCAATACTGTTTTTGCTCAGACACGCTTAGAGACTTTCAAAAGAATTCCTTGTTTTCTTTCTTTCTTTTTTCGGTAACACTTTATAATAACTATACATTATTTAGGCTTAATAAATGTTTAAATAACACTTAATTAATCATGAACAATTGATAAATTAAGTGTGATTAACACTTAACTACTACAGTTAATAAATGCTTAACTCATAATGAATACATCTTCAAGTACTTCACTTGTTCATGATTATTTAATAATTTAAATTTTATGAAGTAACCATTTGTTACTACACATATAGATGGTTTGTTACACCATGATTAAACCAAATTTGAATGATTATTAATTGTATACTTGATTATAAAGTAATACTGCAGTGCATGATTTATTCAATCAGTTACTAACAGTTAGCCCAGAGTTTTTGTGAGCTTTTGTAAAGTGTGCACTATTTATACTTTATTACACATTTGTTAAAGACCCTTTAGTGTGACAATTAATGATTTATTAATCCTGCAATGCATGACTTAGTCAGTTACGAACAGTTAGTTCAGGGTTTTTGTCAGAAAAAACACAAGGATGACTAACGTTTTCGTCTAACAATAATAATCCATGAGACATGGATCCAGAATATATATTCTTCTTTTAAAATGCTTTACAGAGCTATAACAGGCCCATAACAATGAAAAAAAGGCCTCAAAACATGCACAAACATATATCAACATTAAAAATCAAATTGAAGTAAAACAGGAAGAGCACTGTGAAGAATGGAGAGGTCCTGGTTGGGGACACAGACTCCGTTCAGAGAATCACAGTTTGTATGTTGTACTGTTGTTGAGTGTGCAATTATGTGGGGCTAAGGAAACAGAAATACACAAAGGAAGACAGTATTAATAATTATTCTATAGCAATAACACATTAAACAATCAATAGCTTATGTGTCTGGGCTAGTAGGAACTAAAATAAGTCATCAAATTAATAACAAAAAACCCCAACATAGGTCCTCTTTAAGGTCTAAATAGGGTTAACATAAAGTATGTAAATAAGTGATGTAAACAGAAGTAGCTCAAATGGAAACTAACATTACAAAGGTGCAGGAAAATAGATATGACAACTTGAGATGGGAGAGGACCAGGCGTTCAAATGTCTTCATGACGACAGATGTCAGTGCCACAGGTCTGTAGTCATTAAGTCATTGGCGCTGTGTCTCAGAGTGGCAGGTGAGACACAGTCTGTTCCGGGGGCTTTATGGGGTGCAGCCTTGAGAAAAGTCGTTTGATATGTCCTGAAGCTATTGTCAGGGTGGGGGCACAGCTGATGGGTGGGTCGTTAGAGCAGTGGGGGAGGTGTCTGGGGCGGCATCAAAGCGAATGAAAAACAGGTTTAAGTGTATATTTTGTTGCTACGTACAGTTACTGATTGTATATTTCAATTTGGAGAGACGAGAAAACGGGAATGCTTTTGAGTATTTTATTGAGAGGTGGTTTGGCGCCCTAGGCCCCGGTGCGGCCTTCAGTCGGAGAGGCTCCTGCGATAGAGCGCGCACAATCCCCCGGGACCTAGGCACTGGTGGCGGCATTTTGGCAGCAGGAAGCAGATTGGAGGCAGATTGGAGGCAGGGTGAAGAGGAGGAGGAGGGGAGGCGGTGGTTGCAAGGCTTCGAGAGGCCGTGAAGTGGGAGTTTCTCCGCTTTTAAGCGGCTGGCCTGGCCGGCACGGATGATTGGAAGGGGGCGTTTGCTGTGCGATAGGCTGGGGATGCGAGCCGGCCTGGAGGGGGTAGCTTTTGGCTGACGTCTTCTAAATTGAATTTCCGCGAGCTGCATTTGTCTGTTCTTTATTGCAGAACACACACAAACAGGATTAAAACCAGTGGGGGAGGATCCCAGCTCAAAAGTGGCCAAAATGACGTGCGCTGATGTCACAGGTTTAAAAGTGTCTGTTGAGGGGGTGTGATCATTAAAAGGGAAACTGGATAAAAAGGGGATAAAATTGAATAAAATATTTACAAAAGGGATCCATAAAAGATGATTAAAAGCCCAGAGTTCGTCCCCACTGGCCTCCGCTCTTCTCCCCCGGGACCGGGCCGCAGTTCCGCCAGCCACTGGGCAACCACGGGTTGGCACCGGGCACCCGCGGGGGAGAGCCGGCACATCCTGGTCGTCGGTGGGCCTAGCCCGGGCGCGCACGCGCCTTCATGCGCTGTCAATGCCGCTCCCCCCGCTGTCCTCAGTCCCCCGTGGTCTCTGGCTGCCGGTGCTCGTCCTCGTCCATGGCCCGGTCCCGCGTCCTCCTCCTCTGGTCCTCCGTCTGCTCTCTGTCTCGCCTCTGCTGCAGTGCCCGCCCCCAATTAAAAGGTCTTAATTAAAACAGGTGTGGGTGATTAGGGGAAGTGTCAAGGGGACAGTGATAAAATGCATGCATTAAAACCATAAAAACACACAAAACACATCACAAAAATAAAAGCAGTTAAAAGTCCTTTTTAAAAGTCCACTTTCCCACATTGACGTGTTTGCAATACCACCCCGGGCCGATGGGGGTGGACCCAGAAGTAGAATTAGCCAATGCTAACATATAGCAAAAAACGTCTTTACAGGATGGACCAAAAGTTGGTTCTTTGCCCAAAGCTCCGTTCCACATGTGTGTCAATGCTGAGGGGGGTGATTTTTTTTGGTCCACTCTTAGTCGCTGTGAATTTTTGAAGTCTCTCGTTCAAATGAATGGAGCTGCGCTAGCTGACGCATGCGCAGATGCGTTTTTTCACAATTTTCTTGTGGGCGGGACCACTCGCGGCCATTTTGGATAGCTACAGTAGAGCACATTTTTTGGACCATTAGTTAGAACGGCGGAGATAGGCGTGACTCTGTCCATTAATATATACAGTCTATGATTGAAACCTAGAAATAAACCACAACAAAAATCTCCCTCTTCTGGACCCTGATTCACTGACCGGAATCTTTCCGTACTGTAGTCTCCTCAAACCAGCATATTTCCCTTGAGCCTCCACTTCACTAAGAGTGCGTTGTTATCATTCATTCAGCTGTGATTTGCACTGGTAGAAAGTAATGAATGCATTTAATTATTCAACAATAATTAAAGGAACTTGATCAAATGTGTTTTATCAAAACATGTGTTTGATCAAATGTAATGAGTTTGCACATTTTTTCAATGACAAGGTTCAAGGCATCAAAAACGCCATTGTCTCCAATCCACAGATAACAATCCAACAGCCAGAAAGGCTCTTTGAGCTAACTTACTTTGCACCTGTAAATGATCAAACTGTCCAAGAGATAATCTCCAGTTTGAGCTCCTCCACATGCAGCCTGGATGTACTACCCACTAGATTTCTAAAGTCTGTTCTGAGCAGTCTGTTACCTTCACTCACACAGATAGTAAACATGTCCCTTGATTCTGGAATATTCCCAAAGGCCCTGAAAACTGCAGTCATCAGGCCCCTGCTAAAAAAGAGCAGTCTGGATGCTACGGTACTTAACAACTATCGTCCCATCTCAAATCTGCCA